CTGCTTGTATTGACAGTAGACTATTTTTGACACAGACCGCTTCACTTCGCCTCCTTCTTTAATGCCACAATGCTCACTTCATTTTATGATGTCTTGGTGGACTGCATCCATCCATCAACATTGGTTACGGTAGTTTTGACAACCTAATTGAGGCAAGTTAAGGCCACACAACTCACTCCTCTCTGCCGTTTCATGATCTCTGTTAGCTAAGAGTGCATTTTGATATTGGTGTTCTTTTTCTGGTTTTGACTCCGTTCTGTTGTTGACTATTCTCATACCTGGAATTCTAGATCTTAGCTCTGTTTACTCACTTTCTGATTTTTCTGTACTCCTTGACCACAACCTGTGCCTGTCCACTTGTAGTTTGTCTTTAGAAAGTATTCGATACTGTTATAATTTAAACCTGGCCACTCTAAGGACCAGTGATACATTTTTCATATCATAGTATAGGATACTCTTTGCATGTTGGGATGTGCCTGCTTTGACACTATGGACACTATCAACAAAAATTGGAGGACCAGAGTAAAATACCAAGGAGGTATAAACTTTCTTGCTATAGGTCTGATATTAATGACATTTTGAGAAACCCAATTACATATGGAGAGTCCATGGGCTTTTAATGAGGGCTCACATGGCTTAAATCTAGCAACATCGAATGAAGAGCCAGACTTGTATCCAGATCAAGGTGAAGAAACTCAAGGATTTTTGCAACTGATGTCTTGAGTCAGGACTGGTGCAAGGATTTTTTGTCTACACAGTCAGAGAATATCTCTTTAATTTTAGGGGTGTGATTGGGGTTGTGATCTGGGGTGGAAATGTTCTGAGAAATATTAGTTGACCTTCTAAAGTGTAGTTTAGAACAAGAACCATGACTGATTTCTAAACATATTTGTTGTAGTTTACAGACACATTACCGTACATTATTGCTATGGAGCTCAAAACACTCAAAAACACCAACAACATGGAGCTCCTAGAAAAGAGGGATGTTAGGTTAGGAAAGAGGGACAGAGGGATTGATTTTAAAAGTACTATTATATGATATTTCTCTTAAAATGCTGATTATACTTTTTTCACATTAGTGTTTAGTATCTATTCATTAGATTTTTGCATTGGTTTTATTAAACCTTGTATCGCTGTGTGTATGCCTCGTATCACTGTGAAATACATCTGTTCAAATACTCGTTCCAGAAAAGCTTGAAAAAGGATGTGGATAGGCACCGGGGTGGGATCATAAATGTCTTTGAAACAAAAGATGATACTTTGATGAAACCACTTTAAAAAGGTGGAATTCAAATGTAGAATCTGTACTTGTTAATGTTATTATAAATAGGATGGATTATGAATTCAAGACTAGGTTTATGGCCCAAATATTTATTCAGTTGCTAACATTGATATTATCACTGATATTCTATATCGTATTATATAAATTGATATTATTGATAATATTTTAATGCAGCATTAAAAAATATAACTTTTTGGCCAGAGATCACAAAAAGTTCATAGTGATTAACATTATATTAACAGAATGGTGTTAGGAGACTCAAAAGTGTTACTTGGAATAACAGTTCCCATGTTGCTTCCTCCTAAGCTGTTTCCGACACCGAACCTAGTGTTTGGAACCTGTGCAAGGACAGTAGTGGATGTTGGTACAGTATTATGACAGCCAAAGTTCAAGATTAAATTCGAGCGTTTGAGTGTTTAATCCCTGCTGACTCTTTCTACAGTGCCACTGTTAGCTAGGACCTCTTTTGCTTTCTCCAACACACCAAGCCATACCTATGACTTCTGCTACTTCTGGTTCCTCTATTTCCAATACATGGAGCAATGTATTTGTGAGTGTGGTAAACCTAGAAAAATATGGTGGTGACCCTGACAATTGTAGAGGGTTTTACCTCACATGAGTATACACTTTAAATTATCTCCTCAGGCTTTCCCTACTAAATGTAATAAAGTTGGATTTCAAATATAACCAAACAGAGTGAACTAAGTGGAATCCATCCACCACATGACTGAGCAGCTAATTTAAATGGTTACATATTATTTAGGAAGGATAAAACAAACAGGAAAGTTGGTGGAGTATGTTTGTATGTCAACCATGAGTCAAAGCCATATCTTAAGCAAGTGGAATGTGACAAGGAAAATGTGGATGCTTTTTGGGTAAATATCTGCTTGGGGCAAAAGAAGGGAAATTAATTATTGGTTGGGATATGTTATAAACCACCTAATGATTATATTGATTAGGATGAACAGCTGTTAGAGCAAATTGGGATAGCAGCACACATGGGTAAGACATTAATAATTGAAGATTTTAATTACCTGGACATAAATTGGGATTGAGGGACTAGTATTTCAGCAAGCGTAATTAGGTTTTTGAACGTGTTAAATTACAACTTCATGTAACAACTGGTACAAGCAATACCAGAATGCTTGTCTGGATCTGGTTATGTTAAAAAAATGTTGCTCTTTTAACCAACATTCAAGTAAGGGACCACTTGGGAAAATAGTGATCAAAATATGGTGCCTTTTGAAATAAACTCAAAATGTAAAAGAACACGGAGTATGCTAAAAAAAAGTATAATTTTAAACAGGCTAATTTCAATAAGACAATGGCAGTTTTACATATATTGACTGGCATAAACTCTTCAGTGAAAAGAAACACTGAGGCTAAATGCAATATCTTGCAAACAAATATTAGAAATGTACATTGTTCAGTATGCACCATTGGGTAATAAATATAAAGGAAACAAAATAAAAACTAATGTGGCTTAGTGGTAAAGTAAACCAAGAGATTACAAATAAGAAAAGGGGGTGAGGGCCTGACTGGCATAGTGGAGAGACGTGTATTGATAGAGCTTCTCTCTTCTATTGATATAAAAACTGATTTTAGCCTCATTAAATTTGATTTGGATGACAAACGGAAACTTACCAGCTTCTTGACCCAGCTGAACATCCTTGCAGGATTTAAAGATTTGACAATTGCTCATCTATTGCATGACTTCAAACATGCATCCTAGAGCGCACGGGGCGGGAGTTGCCCGATGGCATGTAACATTATACCAGTGTCTCATTACCCTCCCCCCCAGGCACATGTGATCCCAGTTCACCCATGGGAGGCTGCCCTGTCTGAACTGTAATGTGGGGTGAAATCATGTTACTCACCTATGATGGCAGACACCATGTGGACCCCTGATAGCACAAGGGAAAAGCAGGATATCTTGTCCAGGCTGGAAAGAATATTTGATGAATTCTAAGGAAAGGTAGAGAGTAGGATGCAGCACCCTACCCCAGGCCAGTCGGACAACTACTCACCACAGAAGCCGATTCATGACCTGCAGCAGGAGACCGTAGATTCAGCAGTGCACAAGGCAATGAGGCAGGAAGCACACATCGCTCCAACACAGGAGACACACAAGAGTGTTCCATGGTGGTCCAATGCTGGGACTCATGATAAATGGCACAGCTTGCCGACACACATCGAGGCTCAGAAGCAAGTCTTTTTTCCAATGTTGCGAGACTCTGCCATGCCTCTGGTTGTCATTGGATGATCTAGAATACTGTGGCGAAACCGGCCTCGCCACGTGTCCTTGGAGGGGGCTGCTTGCCCGCCTCTTGCCTTTGGACTATGGACCAGACTTTATGAGAATGTGTTAACCCAGATAGCTATGCCATGGAGCCCATTTGTGTAGTTAAAGACTTTGGCTCCATAGCAATTGAACTGTGTGAATAGGATCTGAGCGCTCTTCAGTAGTTTTGTGTGCTCAGATCCCAGCTATCTGGGGATATGTGAAATGTCTGTGTGTTATGTGAAAAGGTTACTTTATGTATTTTAAAGTGTTTTGTGTCTTTTTGCAACCATGTGCTTAATGGAGTCTTGTGTCTGTCCTGGGAGATAATTGAATTACTCTCCAGGATAGAAGACTCTGAAACTGATTTGGGCCAGAAAGCCATGCTTCATTTAGTCACAAAGGACTTTCCCTTAACTTTTGAACCCCTGGTCTGATTCATGCCATTTTTTAATATGTTGTTCCCCTGAATGGATTGATTATGAAAATGTATGTTTTATGTTTGTGACATGTATATGTTAGAAGTTATAAATATTGTGTAAAAACTGTATTCCTCTGCCGGTGATAATGAGATTACCCATTGTGTTCAGTAATCATATCACCTGCAGAGGGGAGGATTTTGTGTGGGAGTGTCTGGGTGTATTGTATGGATTGATTGGTTGTTTTGTAACACCCTGTGGGCTGTACTATGTTTTGTGGATTGTAATAAAAACCAGGCTGGGTGTGCCAGCACTTGAGTTCCTGTTTTAACCCTCAAAGTGAAGTGTCGTCTCATTATTGTGGGAAGGATTTATTGTATGCTGTTCCAGTTTGACTGCTAGGAGAGTAAACCTATTTGTATGGTTCCTATTCAACTGTCTACAGCATTCATATGCTTGAGAGCATTCAAATGCTCCTACGGTTCGGTGGTTTTGGTGTCTGCTGCAGTGCTTGGAGTCCTCAGGAAGTGCTAGGAGCATCCTTCAACGGAGGTACCCAGTCGGGGTGCCAGGCGATCCGTTACAAATACCATAGGTATAACATAGGTCTTGTTAAACGAGCTGCATTCTACCAAGAAGTAAGTACAAGCATAGATCAGGCTGTTGCAGTGGATGTAATCTACATGGATTTTCTCAAGGTTTTTGATGCGGTTCCTCAAACTAAGAGAAACAGTTCTACATGAAAATTCTTGTTCTTGGGTAGAACGTTGGCTTAAAGATAAAGTACACTAGAAAAAGTGCAGAGGTGGGCCTCAAAATTGATAAAAGAAATGGGACATTTTAGTTATAAAGAAAGGTTAACAAATTTAAATCTCTTTAGTTTGGAAAAATGGCGCTGCAGAGATTATGTGATAGCATTATATAAGTGTATTCAGGGCCAATAGAAATCATTGTCTGGAAATCTATGCATAAACAGTATTATACA